CAAACATGTCTGTGCAGGGTCAGGACAAGAGACCTGCTTGGATTGGAATGTCCATGTATTAACAACAGTACATTTTCAAGGGTGTAGCATGTATACCCTCAAAAATACTATTCCCCATGCAGTGTTCTAATGCTGAACTCAAATTCACAGAGCTAGGCAGTGGAGAACTGTAGTTTACCTTTTGAGTTAAGAGACTAGAATTCCAAAATGTCTGCTTTAGTGTCTGCTTTAGAGCTTATCACCCCAATAAACCCATCCCCCAAACAGTGAATTGGTGATGTATGGAATAATTTATTTGAAAATATTATGAGAAGAAGTCTCCAGGCACTAAACAAATTAAAATTGTTACTTTGAAGTAAATAGAATTATAACAAAAATGATCAACAATAAAAAACACGTGAAAGTGGAGAAAGATGATTTTGGATTTCATTCAACTCAACTGCTCCTCCTAGTGCAGTAACAGTGTTGTTACCTTCTCCTCACATTTCTAAACAGGCAAAGACATTTAAAGCTCTAGCTTACTTAGCTAAATATTATTATGTGAGAAAAATTTAGATCAACTTAAAACATTAGGGAGGATGGAAAAGAGGGTCTTTCAGTTTCTTGTGAAGTCTCTGACTTAAATCTTAATGGGACACATCAGCTATAATGACAAGAAAAATACAGTAGAGCACCACCAATGTAGAGTGAAAGTTATGTTATTCCTTTAAATATTATTTTAAATACATTATGTTTTATTCATATATAACACAACTATCTAGTAAGTCACCTTTAAAATATGTCTTGGAATTTAAACATCGAATCAGATAAAATGCTCAAGGAAAGTTCAAGAACACAAAGTTGGGCAACATTTCTAAATCTTTTAAATTAGAGTTTGTGACTCTGCTGGTACATTCAACTGTAGCAGGTAAGAGTTTTCCTCTCTGTTTTTGTGTTCCCAGAAACGTAGCTTTAAGTGCCTCTGTATTTATGACACATTTTAAAATATCAGTTTTTGTAAGTTCTTAGGAGAAATCCAGTGTTACTCAACTAACAGAGGATTATAAGCAGAACCATAGCATATGTGGGAACAAGCAGGAAATGGTTAACCAGTGCCTATTCAAGTCTGTAGATGTGCTTCTTGTTACCAGCCACCAGTGGTCTTTTTCAGATCTGTCTTCTGTGACTTAGTGGTTTATCCTAAGCTCTCGTTTTAATACTTTCAAACCTCCGAAATCGTTCAGCTGTTTAAAAGTTCCAAAACAAGCAAATGTGTTACTGGAATCTTACCCTTAACTTTGCTGGAGAGAATATACTAAGGCTCTTCTCCAGCCAAAATAATAAAAGACCTTTTAAGTGGCTAAAATTCTTGGTTGATTGCACATACATGTCAATGTCAGACAACTATAAATAGAGAGATTTGGAGGAGAAATAGGGAGAGTATAACTGCAACAAAATAAAATGGAATGTTTTGAAGGCAGTCAGAAAACAGTACATGTTTTATAAAATTAAGATTTGTCTCCCTTTAATCCACAATCCCCTTTATGTAGAAAGAGCCCACATGGATCATGCACTTCCAGTATGAGGGAATAAAAGGACTTTCTTTTCTTTGTTAATATATATATTATTCTCAAACGGGTAATTAAGATTTCTTCTTTCTGTTATTCTTTTGAATTTGGATATCTGTTAGATCTTACGATATTTTCCCCCATCACTGCTTTGTTTTCCTAGAATAAGAAAAAATCTTTCAAAGAAAGAAATTGTGCCCATGATTACTGACATAAATGAAGTCAGTAGGGAATTGCCTGAGTGTTACCTAGGGCAGGGTTGGCCCCAAAATAAACTGGGTCATTTGTTATAGCTATTCAAAGAAATTTAAGGATTAATTTCTCAAGAAATTCTTACTCTCTTAGGCAGGTTAACATGTCCACTAGCTTCAATACCTAGGTTAATACATATTTTTACAAGCATTGTTACTTAATTTTGAACAGTGATCTACTTTTTTTATATTAACACCTATCTTATATTGACCCATCTAAACTGAATTCAAATTAGTTCTTGAAAATTAGTTTAATTTATTTTAAGCCTGTTACCACTGTACAAGAGAATTTAACAGTTGCTTCAGTTTGGTAATTGTGCTATAGACAAGCAAATTAGTTGGCAATGGAGAAAACCATCACTTGTGTAATAGTCTTTTAATGTAGTTCTTTTGAATTCTGATCTCACTCCTTAAGTGAGAGAGGCTGGAACATTGATGATGGTTGCAAGGGCCATTTGGAGGAATAATCAATAATATAATTAACATCTCTGCATCTTAGTTCTCTTTAAATTGCATTGGTTTGAATTGGCTACAGGCTACAGCTTGGCTCTAAAGATCCAGCACTTAATATTGGAATACCAGAAAGTAGCATTTTAATAATATATTTAGTAAAGATTTTATTAGTGTTTCTGAAATAAACCCTTAAGGCAAGACTTACAAGGACGTAAAAATAGTGTGGTTCTTGGCAACCAACAGAATGGGAAAAAAATTTTGCAATCTACCCATCTGACAAAGGGCTAATATCCAGAATCTACAAAGAACTGAAACAGATTTATAAGAAAAAAACAAACCCATCCAAAAGTGGGCGAAGGATATGAACAGACACTTTTCAAAAGAAGACATATATGAAGCCAACAAACATGAAAAAATGCTCATCACGACTCTTCATTAGAGAAATACAAATCAAAACCACAATAAGATACCATCTCAGGCCAGTTAGAATGGCTATCATTAAAAAATCTGGAGACAACAGATGCTGGATAGGATGTGGAGAAATAGGAACACTTTTACACTGTTGGTAGGAATGCAAATGAGTTCAACCATTGTAGAAGACAGTGTGGTGATTCCTCAAGGACCTAGACATAGAAATTCTATTTGACCCAGCAATCCCATTACTGGGAATATACCCAAAGGACTACAAATTGTTCTGTTATAAAGATAAATTGTTCTGTTACAAAGACCCATGTACATGCATGTTCATCGCGACACTGTTAAAAATAGCACAGACATGGAACCAACCCAAATGCCCATCAATGATAGACTGGACAAGGAAAATGTAGCATATATACACCATGGAATACTATGCAGCCATAAAAAACGATGAGTTGTGTCCTTTGCAGGGACATGGATAAACCTGGAAACCATCATTCTCAGCAAACTGACACAAGATCAGAAAATCAAACGCTGCATGTTCTCACTCATAGGCAGGTGTTGAACAATGAGAACACTTGGAAACAACGAAGGGAGCACCACACTGGAGTCTGTTGAGGGGGCTAAGGGAGAGACAGTGGGAGGGAGGGTAGGGAAGGGATAACGTGGAGAGAAATGTCAGGTATAGGTGATGGGGGGATGGTGGCAACAAACCACATTGCCATGAATGTACCTATCCAACAATCTTGCATGATCTGCACATGTACTTCAGAATCTAAAGTGCAATAAAAAAATAGCATGGTTCTAAACAAGCCATGTTCATAATTTTAAAATCTTACCTCAAGTTCAGCTTTTATCATTTTCCTTAAAATATTTAAAAAGTAATCTAAGGGTGGGACTTGGTTTATCAAATGCCTTTGACTTGATTCTAATGATAAATTCTGTAACTCTGTAATTCTAATCACCTGTTCTCCACAAATGCTGCTATGCTATGTCTGACTTGTCAGATATTCTTGTTACTTTAAATATAGGTTTAGAGATTCAATGACTTTATCAAGAATTGTTTCATAAAGTGGTTATCTGGTTGGACAGGAATGATGTCTTATTCCTATGAGAGAGGAATGTATTTGATCGTTCAATTAAGGTAGGAACTGTATTCTGTATATATTACCTGGTGTATAAAAGCACTTAATTAAAATATGTTAGATCAGTGATCAGAAAATGGGGAGGCAGAGATGAGGAGCATGCACAGAAAACTCCCAGCAGAGGGAATGCTTCCCAGGGGAGCCATGAGAACTGGCTCTTCAAATGGCACATGCAAAGCCCCATGTTAGACAGAAATGATTACTGTATACCAATGTGTTCTTCGAGGTACAAATTTAAGAAAAATAAACGGCCAAATCCATAAAGTAAACTACTGCAGAATTTAATGTATTCATTTCATGAGTTCCTTGCCATCAGCTGTCCACTGTATGCACTGAGAGCACGGATTAGCAGAATTTTAATTTGAAAAAGGTTTTTCTTATTTTTCTCATAACTGATAGTGTCCAAAATTAAACATGTGATAACAGTGAAAAATGTGAGTATAACACTAAATTCCAAATAGACAGAATTTTATGATAAATTACAGTTTATTTAATCAAAGCAGTTCCAGTTACCTTTCCCCAGCATAATGCTTGAAACGACATGCTCACAAACAAACAGAAATGACTAAATTATTGTTTACAACTTCTAATGATTTTCTAACACATTGGCTTGCAGTAAAAGTCTCCTGAATAACTAAAAAATCCAGATCTTCAGATTTTGTGAAATTTCAAAAGCAATAAATAAAACTAAGTAAGGTCAGATGAGAGAACAGGTGTGAAATAAATGGAGTACACATACTTCAAGTCATAAATGCATTTAGCTTCCCAATAAGGCTTAAGGGAAAAATATCCAAAGTGAAAAAATCTGAAAGATCAACTTTATCTAGCTCAAAAGTTGTCACCAACATCATTTATATTAGAAAGTCACTCACTTCTCTAAATGCTGTTTTGCTGATACAAAAATATTTCTTGGAATTTAGCTGCAAGAAGATTGACCACAAGGAAATTTAGGATTTGCAGTTCTGAAGAAATGCCACATTACTCTAGGAACTCAAACTCATACAGTGTTGGCTCAGGCTGAACATGGTAGCTAGCACACAGTTAAGGTTTATTAGCAGTTTAATGGTTAAATGAATGAATAAATAGACAGCAGGATGAATGAGCAATGCCATGAGAAACGTAGAAGGAGAGTTGTAAATATTGAAAGTGAGAAAAAGAGAATGAGCACAATCTGTTTAAAGACTTACTTATTCCACGCTTGTCTAAGGTTTTTAGAGCTGTACAGGGTAAAGCGTTCTGAAATAAAAAAGAAAAATGATAAACAATCTTTGTATCAAATGTATATATTGCAAGTATGTTGGAAAAAACTCACCGTTTAAAAAAGGCAGTGTGCTATTCAGTCAGTTAGGCCAGCATAGTAAGTCTTCACTTTTATACTGGGCAGTTATAAAGAGTAAAACAGGAAGATTACAACATATTAAACCGTGAAGCATTGTTTTCTTTTGTCTAAGATGGTTTATTTCATAATTTTGTTTCCTAGTAACTATTTCTTAGAATAACTTTTAATTGGGCTGAAAAAAGAAATGCAAATTCCAAACCTCCAACTTGTAAGCAGATTTATAGAAATATATCAACACATTACATCAAGTGAGACTTGCTGCTTTTTCCAATGATGATTTCTCTGACCAAATACAGTAATGTTGCATCTCCTTTCCTATGTTGGATGGTATTTATACATGCTCAAAACCAAACTACCAGGGTCTTATACTGTATATTTACATTTATCAGTGAACAATCTTTAGATTTGTTTTAGCTTAAAAAGGAACATGTTTGTTTTACCAAGTTAAAAAATAAAGTGATATAGAATAGATATTATAATCTCTTTACCTGCTCGTTCTTTCACTCCTGATGAAATAGCATTTGTTAATGATTTGATATGTCTGTTTTCACGTATTTTTGCTTATTTCATAAAAAATACTTCCACTACACCCATCCTTATGTACAAACATATATACCATTAATTTTTTGAATGGATTGTATAATAAACATTACTCTTGAAATCTTTTTGGCATTTAATAATATATGCTGGATAGTCCTTCAAATAAAAAAAAATATGTAACTTTTTTTTTTTTTTTTTTTTGAGACAGAGTTTTGCTCTATTGCCCAGGTTGGAGTGCGGTGGTGCAATCTTGGCTACTGCAACCTCCGTCTCCTGGGTTCAAGCGATTCTCCTGCCTCAGCCTCCTGAGTAGCTGGGATTACAGGCACATGCCATCATGCCCAGCTAATTTTTTTTATTTTTAGTAGAGATGGGGTGTCACCACGTTGGCCAGGCTGGTCTTGAACTCCTAACCTCAGGTGATCCACCTGTCTCAGCCTCCTAAAGTGCTGGGATTACAGGCGTAAGCCACTGTGCCCAGTCTGTAATAATTGTTTTTAAATTGTCTAATGTTCCATTGAATAGAAGTAACATAATTTATCTGACTGTTCTCTCATTGATGAACCTTTAAGTAGTTTCCAATTTCTTTCCCCTTACAAACAATACTTCAACAAATATCCTTGCACAGGTCCCTCTGTATACAGACGCTTTCACTTCTATTGGACAGATTCCCCAATATACAATTGCTTAAACAGCATGCACATTTTACATTTTAATAATTGCCAACAGAGTACTTTTTATTTTCCTACCAGTGATGAAAAAGAATGTCACTTTCTCCATATGCCTTCTAGCACTGGTTGTTAACAGTATTTACATTTTGCCAAAGCTACACTTCATAAAACATTCTTGGGCTTCTTTTCATATGTTTTCTGGCCATTTACATTTCTTCTGCTGTTTCAAATTTCACTTTTTATAGCTGGTACCAATTTTAATATTGGGTTCTTGGTTTTTTATCAATCAGTTTATAGAAGTTTTCTGTATATGATCAAGTTGTCTCGTGTGTGTGTGTGTCTGTGTTTGTGTATAAAAGTGAAATATGTGTATACTTTTTTCCACATAGAAACTGAAATTTTTATTTAGTAAATTATTCTTTTTTTTTCTATTATACTTTATGCTCCAGGATACATGTGCAGGATGTGCAGGTTTGTTACACAGGTATATGTGTGCCATGGTGGTTTGCTGCACGTATCTACCCATCATCTAGTTTTTAAGTCCCACACGCATTAGCTATTTGCCCTGATGTTCTCCCTCCCCTCACCCTCTGACTCCTCAACAGGCCCCCATGTGTGATGCTCTCTTCCCTATGTCCATATGTTCACATTGTTAAATTCTCAGTGTGATGAGGAATTTAGCAAGTGAAAACATGCTTGGTTTTCTGTTTCTGTGTTAGTTTGCTGAGGATGATGGCTTCCACCTTCATCCATGTCCCTACAAAGGGCATAATCTAATTCCTTTTTATGGCTACATAGTATTCCGTGGTTAATATATATCATATTTTCTTTATCCAGTCTATCATTGATGGGCATTTGGGTTGGTTCCATGTCTGTGCTATTGTAAATAGTGCTGCAATAAATATACATGAGCACGTGTCTTTAAAGTAGAATGATTTATATTCCTTTGGGTATATACCCAGTAATGGGATTGCTGGGTCAAATTGTATTTCTGGTTCTAGATCCTTAAGGAATCACCACACTGTCTTCCAAAATGGTTGAACTAATTCATATTCCCACCAACAGTGTAAAAGCGCTCCTATTTCTTCACAGCTTCATCAGCATCTATTGGTTCCTGACTTTTTAATAATCATCATTCTGACCGGCATGAGATGGTCTCATTGTGGTTTTAATTTGCAATTCTCTAATGATCAGTGAAGTTGAGCTTCTCTTCATATATTTGTTGGATGTATCAATGTCATCTTTTGAGAAATGTGTGTTCATATCCTTTGCCTATTGTTTGATTTTTTTTTCTTGTAAATTTGTTTAAGTTCCTTGTAGATTTTGTATATTAGTCCTTTGTCAGGTGGGTAGATTGCAAACATTTTCTCTCATTCTGTAGGTTGCCTGGTCACTCTGATGATAGTTTCTTTTGCTGTGCATAAGCTCTTTAGTTTAATTAGATCCCATTTGTCAATTTTAGCTTTTCTTGCAATTGCTTTTGGCATTTTTGTCTTTAAATATTTGCCCCTGCCTATGTCCTGAATGGTATTGCCTAGGTTTTCTGCCAGGGCTTTTATAGTTTTGGGCTTTACATTTAGGTCTTTAACTCATTTTGAGTTATTTTTTGTATAAGTTGTAAGAAAGGGTTCCAGTTTCAGTTTTCTGCACATGGCTAGCCAGTTTTCCCAGCACCATTTATTAAATAGGGAATCCTTTTCCCATAGCTTGTTTTTGTCAGGTTTGCTGAAGATCAGATGGTTATAGATGTGTGGCATTAGTTCTGAGGTCTCTGTTTGTTCTGTTCCACTGGGCTATATGTCTGTTTTGATACCAGTAACATGCTTTTTTTTTTTTTTTTTAGGTTACTAGAACCTTGTAGGATAGTTTGAAGTCTGGGAGTGTGATGCCTCCAGTGTTGTTCTTTTGACTTAGGATTGTCTTGGCTATACAGGTTCTTTTTTGGTTTGATATGACATTTAAAGTAGTTTTTTTCTAATTCTGTGAAGACTGTCAATGACAGTTTGATAGGGATAGCACTGAATCTACAAATTACTTTGGGCAGTATGGCCATTTCCACATTATTGATTCTTCCTATCCATGAGCATGGAATGTTTTTCCATTTGTTTGTGTCCTCTCTTATTTCCTTGAACAGTGCTTTGTAGTTCTCCCTGAAGAGGCCCTTCAGAGCCCTTGTTAGGTGTATTCCTAGGTATTTTATTTTCTTTATGGAAATTGTGATTGGGAGTTCATCCATCATTTGGCTCTCTGTTTGCCTATTGTTGGTGTGTAGGAATGTTTGTGATTTCTGCACACTGATTTTGTATGCTGAGACTTTGCTGAAATTCCTTATCAGCTTAAGAAGATTTTGGGCTGATAACAATGGGGTTTTTAAAATATAGAATCATGTCATCTGCAGAGACAACTTAACTCTCTCTCTTCCTATTTGAATATCCTTTATTACTTTCTTTTGCCTGATTGTCTGGGCCAGAACTTCCGATACTATGCTGAACAGGAGTAGTGAAGGAGGGCATCCTTGCCTTGTGACGGTTTTCAAAGGGAATGTTTCCAGCTTTTGCCCATTCAGTATGATGTTGGCTATGGGTTTCTTATAAATAGCTCTTATTATTTTGAGGTATGTGCCATCAATACCTAGTTTACTGAGAGTTTTTAACCTGAAGGGCTGTTGAATTTTATCGAAGGCCTTTTCTGCAACTATTGAGATAATCATGTGCTTTTTATCATTGGTTCTGTTTATGTGATGGATTATATTTATTTATTTGCATATGTTGAACCAGCCTTGCATCCTGGGGATGAAGTATACTTGGCCGTGGTGGATAAGCTTTTCCATGTGCTTCTGGATTTGGCTTGTCAGTATTTTATTGAGGATTTTCGCATCAATGTTCATCAGGGATATTGGCCTGAAGTTTTCTTTTTTTGTGTGTGTCTCCACCTGGTTTTAGTATCAGGATGATGCTGGCCTCATAAAATGAGTTAGGGAGAAGTCCCTCCTTTTCAATTGTTTGGGATAGTTTCAGAAGGAATAGTGCCAGCTCCACTTTGTATGTCTGGTAGAATTTGGCTGTAAATCCATCTGGTCCTGGGCTTTTTTTTTCGTTGGTAGACTATTAATTACTGCCTCAATTTCAGAACTTGTTATTGGTGTACTCAGGGCTTCGACTTCTTCCTGGTTTAATCTTAGGTGTATGTGTCCAGGAATTTATCCTTTTTGATTCTTCTCTCTTTTCTTCTTTATTACCTAGATAGTGGTCTATTTTGTTAATTTTTCAAAAAAATATCTCTTGGATTCATTCATTTTTTGAAGGGTTTTTCATGTGTCTATCTCCTTGAGTTCTGCTCTGATATTAGTTATTTCTTCTCTTCTGTTAACTTTTTAATTTGTTTGCTCTTGCTTCTCTAGTTCTTTTAATTGCGATGTTGGAGTGTCAATTTGAGACCTTTCTAGCTTTCTGATGTGAGCATTTAGCGCTATAAGTTTCTCTCTTAACACTGCTTTAGTTGTATCCCAGAGATTCTGGTACACTGTCTCTTTGATCTCATTTGTTTCAAAAAACTTCTTGATTTCTGCCTTAATTTTATTATTTACTCAGGAGTCATTCAAGAGAAGGTTGTTTAATTTCCATGTCGTTGTGTGGTTTTGAGTGAGTTTCTTAATCCTGAGTTCTAATTTGATTGCACTATGGTTT